AGGCTACTTTTCGATTTCCCACTGCCAAGGGATTTTTTACGTGCGCGATACACACAGGCTTGTGGTCTCACTACCCTGAGACCAGGGGAACTTACTAGAAGTCCATTTGAAAAATCCCAGGCTTCATTCCCTGTGGCTTAAAACCGGGACCACTAGCACTCGAGGCGGACACCATGCCTCGAAACCAAGTAGCCCCTTTGCTTATAAAGGTTAAGATAAAGGAATTCCTTCCACTCCCTTCAGTCGTACTAGACCTATATTTTATAGCCCCTCTGGGACTCGGTGGATGATTGGAAAGCATTACGCTGGTCGCCTTTACTTCCCAGGACTTTACCTAGTAACCATATAAGGCTGGTTCGACCTGGGAGTCATGGTTATGATTTTTTTTTTTAAAGTCCGGCTCCGTTTGAATTCCGAACTCATGACCTTCTGAACCGCATGGGAGCGTCTCGCCGCTACATCTCAGCGGCTCCCAGGAGCGTGTATACAAATAACAAACAACTGACCATGCTGCTCTCGGATAACGGACCCCTGGACATATGATGCAAGACCCACATTTGTACACACCAATATACCTTTCGTTGATGGTCTGATCAACATCATACCGGCCGCCTTTACTGGTAGCATTTCAAGTTGGACCCACTTGGAAGCCAAAGTAAATTTAAAAAAAAAAAATCTATCTCGACGTGGATTTAAACCCAAGACTTTCAGGTCAGCACTTTATTCAATAGGCTATAGCAGCTTCATGTTCTCGGATGCAATATTTTTAATTATCAGATTATGGATTAATCCAATGGGACCAGTCAGATTATGCTAGGTACAGGAAAAGCAACAGACTGGACTGACATTATTAATGCTCTCAGCGAAGCAGGACGAGAAGATGATTCAGAAGAAGACGGTGAATCGGCAACACTCAAAAAAATACAAGAACTTCAGGTCTTAACAGGTGTGCGACAAATACTATACAGGGAGCCAAAAAAAAAAAAGTAAACCAACACAGAACTGGTGTTATCAGTCACCACACGCTGAGGGATACACTGAAGATGGGATCTGAGCGCTTAACTAACTAAACTAACTAACTGACTAAAAGAAGAAGAAGAAGTAGTAGAAGAAGAAGAAGAAGAAGAAGAAGAAGAAGAAGAAGAAGAAGAAGAAGAAGAAGAAGAAGAAGAAGAAAAAGAAGAAGAAGAAGAAGAAGAAGAAGAAGAAGAAGAAGAAGAAGAAGAAGAAGAAGAAGAAGAAGAAGAAGAAGAAGAAGAAGAAGAAGAAGAAGAAGAAGAAGAAGAAGAAGAAGAAGAAGAAGAAGAAGAAGAAGAAATCTATTTATGCGTGAATTACTTTGCGGAGAATTCGAAATGGGATCTCTCAGGTACGTAATAGCAAATCTTTGTCAACTCTCGGCAAGATTCGACATTCCCAATTTCGTGCTCTCTCTCTCTCTCTCTCTCTCTCTCTCTCTCTCTCTCTCTCTCTCTCTCTCTCTCTCTCTCTCTCTCTCTCCTACCTCTCTCATCTCTCGTTATGTCTTCCCCTCCTCGTCCTACACCAAGTGTGTGTGTGTGCGTGCGTATCTGTGTAGAGGGGGAGGGGTTAAAAGGAGCAGACCCCATTACTCGACCCTGCCGGCAACGATACCTGACAATCATTCAGAGACACCGCTGATAAATATCAGCAATTTGGCATCGGATAGCTCGGGGACACGCCGTGCATGCCAACACCGGCTCCGGTGGCAGCAGTTCAACAACACTGAATGCTGATATACTCTTGGGAGATGTCCGCAAAGTGAATTACACAGAAAGCATACCAGAACATAAATATATGGCTATTAGAATGTCAGAACGGGAGTTTGCGTCTGGTCTCCGTTACTGCAAGAATGTTAGCGGTGCTTCATTAATATCCTACTCCAGATGACGTAACAGGATAGTCCAACGCTTTAGAGAGTGGTAAGACTGGGTTTCCCAGTTTTCTAATGCTTTTAAGGACCCCAAAACATCTAGAACTGGCCCTAATCCCAACCCCCCTACGTCCCAAGAGAGAGCACAACCTAGATCCCAGGACTGTATGCAGCTTAGGTCCCATGACTGCATGCAGCTTAGGTCCCATGACTGTATGCAGCCTAGGTCCCAGGACTGCATGCAGCTTAGGTCCCATGACTGCATGCAGCTTAGGTCCCATGACTGTATGCAGCCTAGATCCCAGGACTGCATGCAGCTTAGGTCCCATGACTGTATGCAGCCTAGGTCCCAGGACTGCATGCAGCTTAGGTCCCATGACTGTATGCAGCCTAGGTCCCAGGACTGCATGCAGCTTAGGTCCCATGACTGTATGCAGCCTAGGTCCCAGGACTGCATGCAGCTTAGGTCCCATGACTGTATGCAGCCTAGGTCCCAGGACTGCATGCAGCTTAGGTCCCATGACTGCATGCAATCTACCACCACCTGAAATATTAGACTGTCTCGTGACCTGTGGATTCCCCCTGTTTGGGGTAGGATATTAATAAAGCACCATGTTAGCCAGTCATAGGCCAAGAAGAGAGCAATCAGAGAAGGTTATCAAGTTGCCAAACCGCCTATAATATCTGGCTTTCGATAACGCCTTCTGGTAGTGTCGACTAGCTATGTGTGTTAATTCACTTGTTACTGCAGCGAGGTGACTTCGTCACTTGGAGGTGACACGTTCGATTCCCGGCATGGTAGCTATAGATTTCTAAGTGGATAGTATGTCCTCTTATATCTCTAATTCTTTCTTATGACTGTCGATCAATTCAGTTGTGTCTGTTTATTATATGTGTACAGAAACATGACTGCATCGGGTATTCGATATTTCCGCACCAATGGATTACACACATACACACACACATATATATATATATTGTGTATTAGGGTGAACGCTGGGATAACAATGCAATCCATCAAAGTGTCGACAGGGTGTTATTAATTACAGAAATAATAACAAAAATCACACACAGAGAGAGAGAGAGAGA